ACGGCGAGAAGGCGCCCAACGTCGTCTACAAAGGAAAGCTACCCGACGGTGACTCTCTGATCGCCGTTAAACGATTCAACAAATCAGCTTGGCCTGATACTCGTCAATTCCTCGTACGTTATCTCTAGCATCCTTCCTTATTTAATTCTGATTCTGAATAATCATGCGAAGTTTATGTTTCTAGGATGAAGCAAAAACAGTAGGCCAACTTCGAAGCCAAAGATTAGCAAATTTGTTGGGATGCTGCTACGAAGGAGACGAAAGATTACTGGTTGCAGAGTTCATGCCTAACGAGACTTTATCCAAGCATTTGTTTCATTGTGGGTCTATTTTGTTGCCACTTTTTTTTTTTTCTCCAAAAAGTCGTACTAATAAATTTGAGCTCTTGATTTATATATAAACTCGTATGTATGAATTTAGGGGAAAACCAACCACTAAAATGGGGTATGCGATTACGTGTGGCTTTGTATCTGGCACAAGCATTAGAATATTGCAGCATCAAAGGCCGATCATTGTACCATGATCTTAATGCTTATAGAGTATTGTTTGATAAGGTACCAACCTATCTAACATGGTATCAGAGCCAATCTTTATGTGTGGGTCATTTTGAAAAGAAAATCTAAGACTCCACATATTGCAGGATTGCAATCCGAGACTCTCGTGCTTCGGGCTAATGAAAAATAGTCGAGATGGAAAGAGCTACAGTACTAACTTAGCTTTCACACCTCCGGAATATATGAAAACAGGTATAAAAATAGAGATAGACTCGTACAAAAAATATATATAATATGGTTGAAGTTGTATATTTATTTTTTATTTTTTCGATATGGCAGGTAGAATAAATGCAGAGAGTGTAATTTACAGTTTTGGCACCATACTTCTTGATCTTCTTAGTGGAAAGCATATTCCTCCCAGCCATGTAAAATTTAAAGAGTTTCAATTTCATTTTTTTTAATTTTAAATTATGATTTAAATTGGTGTTATTTTTGTGATTGTAGGCGCTTGATTTGATACGTGAGAAGAACTTTCAAATGTTAATGGATTCATGCTTAGAGGGTCATTTTTCGATTGAAGATGGAACCGAATTAGTAAGGATAGCTTCACGTTGTTTGCAATATGAGCCACGTGATAGGCCCAATCCAAAATCAGTTGTCACGTCTCTCAATGCTCTTCAGAAACAAACAGACGTGTCATCCGTTGTGTTGATGGAAATTACAAATCAACCCCCGGTGGAAAACGCAAAAGAAATTGACTCCTTATCACCATTTGGTGAAGCTTGCTCCAGAATAGATCTAACTGCTATACATGAGATGTTGGAAAAAAGTGGATACAAGGATGATGAGGGAGCTACAAATGAGGTCTTTCTCTCTCCTCATTATTTGTTTTAGGGTTTAGGGTTTTTGTTATTATTATTTTTTTTTTTTGTAGCTTTCGTTTCAAATGTGGACAAGCGAATTACAAGAGGCTTTGAATGGTAGGAAACGTGCTGACGCAGCTTTCAAAACCAAGGACTTCAATACCGCGATCGAGTCGTACACAGCTGTAAGTTTTTTTTTTTTTTTTTGGAAAATGTCTAAAATACCCTTCGTTTGAGATGAAAAACTCGGTTCTTTCTTTTGTTTAGTTTATTGAGAATGGAAGCATGGTTTCACCAACTGTGTATGCGAGGCGATGTTTGTGCTACTTGATGAACAATAGAGCGCAAGAAGCTTTAGGAGATGCGATGCAAGCACAGGTGGCATCACCTGATTGGTCAACCGCGCTCTATCTACAAGCCGCTGCTCTTTTTAGCTTAGGAATGGAGAATGATGCTTGTGAAATGCTTAAAGATGGCTCGATATTGGAGAGCAAAACTAAAGGCAAATGAAACATTTTGGTTTTGTAAATATTTTCTTGATTTAATATCTTTTGGGACTGGTGTGTGAACAAATGTTATTTTATATGTAATGAGAGAATGTGTGTTTGTCAATTATTTTTATTAAACTATATGTTTAAGTTTGGTAATTTTACATTGCTTAAAAGATTAATTTGGCATTTATTCAAGGATTAATGGTTAGCTTGCAATGAGAAGTGAAGCATGATGTGTCTCTCATATGGTCAATCACTCGTTTATTTTGATATTATGTAATTTTAGCCTTTTAGAAAAACATTAAATAGATATTACTTTCGTTTGTATCTTATAGCATCATTTCTTTGTATTACGAGATTGTAGTTTTGACTTTTTTTGTTTACTAAGGCATTATACTTTCAAAAAAATATTATTATGACATTGTACTTTGAAATATCTATAAAAATTGTTTTGTATTTGGATGATAATGCTACAATTTGGTAGATATGTTAAAAGTTGAATGTTTTTATAGAAAGAAATGAAAATATGATGCTATGAAAAAACAAATCAATAGAACTATATTACCATTTTCTGCATCTAACCCTTAAGAAAATTAAGTCTAGGTTTTGATGTACAGACTAAAACTATCAGTTTTTGACAGTTTCAGAAGTTAGATCCGCCATATTTGAAACACAAGTTTCTTTCTATTATAACTGAATGCAATCAAGATATATTTTTATATAATAACAGCAATCTTAGGATTATAAGCAAGAAGTAGCAATGTACTTTCATTTATTAGTTTATCATAGCATCTTACTTTCATTTATTCCTATTAAAACATTATAGGTTGAAAATTATATCTGACTGTAGCAATTTCATCTAAATACAAATTAGTTTCTATTGCTAAAATTGAGTATGTTATAATGCATTGTCCTACTGAGAAGAATTTTAAGTACAATATTATAATCGGGTTGATTTGTCGAAGTACAATGTTTTAATAAGAAAAAAATTACATGTGCAATGCTATAATAGAAAAAATAATAAACAAATATAGAAAGTGTGTTGCTATTTTTCCATTTAGCCCAGAATCTAATGTGGATGTTACTGACCAATAAGTTCAATTCTCATGAAGAAACAATACCTTTTATAAACAAACTCGTCGAAACGAGATCTTGTATTAGCAAATATGCATTTCATAATGGGCTCCTTGTGAAATATGTGGCTATTTTGATAAAAATAAAAATACATGATAAATGGCACTAAAGACACTTAAGTGCTAAAAAAGATCAATTTTGACACTGTTTTGACACTTAGTGTTAAAAAAAAATATGATTTTTTTAACACTTAGTGACAAAAACCCTGCAAGAAGGTATTCTGGTTGTAGGTATTTCACGTACCCTAAAAAAGATTGTAAATACTTTGAATGGTATGATGAAGAACTTCTGAATGAATGGCACAAGAAAAAGTTTAACAAACTGAAGATCCAAATGATTCCTATTTTTTATGAAGCTTCAAATGAAAATCCCAACTCTAATCTATAGTTTCTCATTGTTGTTATGATTTCCTATCCCTTCTACATAGAATATGTGAAAGTATTTCTTGAATTGGTCTCATAATCCAACGAGCATAGTCCTAAACAAGCCCATAATGCTCTGTCAACTTTAGATTTATTATTGCCAAAGCTTTCTTCTTTGCTCTACTCTCTAACATTGTGCCATTGACCTTCTCTTATCTCTTTGCTTTTCATCCTAGGCCTTGCACTCAAATATTTTATGTATTTTCTTAACAATCCAATTAGGATTCACCTATGTACCATGGTTGAACTCCGTAATACAATCATCAAGTCCTTTAATCTGGAATGATCTTTCTTAGGTTATCTATGATGCCCAAAGTTTAAAGGGACAATAAATTTTTCTTGTTGGTTACACATTTCTCTTTTAGCCATTTTGTAAAAGATTTCACAAACCATACATAATTTGTAAAACAGAAACGTAATTCCTCTATACCAGCATATAAACCATATCCAGCACTAACTTCTAGTGAATCATCCTCCATTTCCTTTTCCTAATTCCTTCATAATCAGAATACTCCTCTTTAATTGCTCCATCTTCCTTCCTTTATGCAGTCCAATGAATGCAGAATTCATAATAAAACGCATTAATTGGCACCTTTGGGCTTTGATTGAAGTGTATATTCTTTGTCATCCAGCACAAAGATAGGATCCCCTTTCATTGATTTCTTCACCCAAGTCTCTTTCTTCAATGTCTGAGTTTACTTGTCACAATAATGTCTGAGTTGCCATGGCATGAGACATATAAATTGAATAATATAAAGATACATTATATGCTAAATATGATGAGATCATACACTCCATTATTCTTATTTTTACATGTTAAAAAAACACGTTAGTAATATATACATATTTCGAACCAAATACCTCTATTTAATCAGCACAATACCGAGAGCTAGCAGATATATATAGTTCATCAGGAATAGTTGTCCCCAATGTATATCCACTTTTGATTAAGGTATTCTTTGTAGGATTTCACTCTAATACATTTTTTACAGAAAGCATGTTTGGATTTTTAACCAAATACACGTTAGTTATTGAATTTGAGTCCCCACCCTTTCAAGCACGTACTATAGTGGAGGACATTGTTTTACGCTATACATTGGAACTAATCAGGAGAAAAGAGGGGAAAAGGAGGATGACTATCCCAAATCAGGGTGGACACACAGAAGGAAAAGAACTATGGATGGGACAACCTTTGAAAATATGTGGGACCACAGAATCCACCCTTATAGAAGGTTGGAGATATATTTTGGTTACTCAGGTGTGTGTTGAGTTTTTGTTAGCCACAACTTTTGAACAATAATCATAAAATAAAATAAAAAGCTCTCAGTAATTATTTATGAGATAATAAATTAAAATTACAAAGAAATAAATTGCTTGCAAGAGTAGAAAATACGGAATTGAAATCATGAGATGTATAGTGGTCCATGAATGATGGCTTAAAGAGTTAGAAGTAGAAAATACGGCATTGAAATCATGAAACGTATGGTATTAGTGGTAATAATCCACTTTTCCAAATTCAGAAATACAGGACGCATATAATAAAAGTTTCATGCAAAATTTTAAAAGAAAACCATGAATATGCATGCATAGTTGAAAGCTCTCAAAACCAGTAGAAATAAGATTTTAAAATGAAGAGAACTAGAGATGTAAAGAAGTGAAAGAACACAACCATCTACACATAAATCACCTAAAAGTAGGGGGGAAAAACAAGCACAAAAACGAGTACTAGTTATAATCCAGAAACAGAATTACACCCACACTGTTTAGCAAAACCGATAGCTTTCTTGCAAGTTTTTCACAAACCAACTCAAAATGGAAGTTGAGTTGACAACCACAAGACAATTCACACATAAAACAATATAATAACACCACATAATAGACTCTAGTCTCCTTCACAAGACAATTCACCCCCAATCAACCCTCATACTCTGCCTCTTCCTCCTCTTCCTCATACTCTCCCTCCTCATCAGCAGTAGCATCCTGATACTGCTGATACTCAGACACCAAATCATTCATGTTGCTCTCAGCTTCAGTGAACTCCATTTCATCCATTCCCTCACCAGTATACCAATGCAAGAAAGCCTTCCTCCTAAACATAGCAGTAAACTGCTCACTAACACGCCTAAACATCTCCTGGATGGAAGTCGAATTCCCAATGAAAGTAGACGCCATTTTTAGCCCAGTTGGTGGAATATCACAGACAGTTGATTTCACATTGTTTGGGATCCATTCCACAAAGTAAGATGAGTTCTTGTTCTGGACATTTAGCATTTGTTCATCCACCTCTTTCGTGCTCATTTTCCCACGGTAGATGGCGGAGGCGGTGAGGTAGCGGCCGTGGCGGGGATCGGCGGCGCACATCATGTTCTTCGCGTCCCACATTTGTTGGGTGAGTTCAGGGACGGTTAATGCACGGTATTGTTGGGACCCACGGGAGGTGAGAGGGGCGAATCCGACCATGAAGAAGTGGAGACGAGGGAACGGTATCAGATTCACCGCGAGTTTTCGGAGGTCAGAATTGAGTTGACCTGGAAACCTTAGACAGCATGTGACTCCGGACATTGTTGCAGAAATGAGATGGTTGAGATCACCAACTGTTGAAAGATTTGATTAAGATTTTTGGTAGAGGTTAATTAAAGAAGATTGAGAAAGTTGTGATTTGGAGAACTTACAGCTTGGAGTTGTGAGCTTGAGTGTTCTGAAGCAGATATCATACAATGCTTCGTTATCAAGAACCATACATTCATCGGCATTTTCAACAAGCTGGTGGACAGATAATGTGGCGTTGTAAGGTTCAACAACAGTGTCTGAGACCTTGGGAGAAGGAAATACAGAGAAGGTCATCATCATTCTGTCGGGATATTCTTCCCTGATCTTTGAAATCAAAAGTGTTCCCATTCCGGATCCTGTTCCACCTCCTAGAGAATGACACACCTGAAAACCTGCAAAATTATTAAATGTTAATATGAAATGGTAAATAGGATGCAGTAAGTTTAATTTGAGATCTGAAAGTTTCAGTAAGAGGATTATAACTGACTCTGAAGAAAAAAATGTAACGAGTATGTCTATGAGATTATTCATCATATTTATCATCGTTTACGCTACTATGAAAAATTATAGATCTATCTAAATGGAGCAGGTTAAAATGAGATCCAACACTTTGACAAAGAAGTGTGCCATATATAGATAATGTCTTAGGATTTGAATACATCAAATGCCTCCTACCAGATTAACAAACATTCCGTAGATCTATCTCTTTATACACAGGAAACGATAAATAGATCTGAAAGAACTATCTACCAACTTAAATTTGATGTGAAGATATTTAACAGAGACACTCGTCAACAAATGTTATGGATCTATCGTTTCTAACTCATTACTTAATCAAAACAGAAATGTTTTTAGAAAGAGCAAAACAGAAATGTTTAACACAAATAAACTAGATATGTAAGTATACCTTGCAAGCAATCGCAGTTCTCGGCCTCCTTCCTAACAACATCGAGAACAGAGTCAATCAACTCGGCGCCTTCGGTGTAGTGTCCTTTCGCCCAGTTGTTACCAGCACCACTCTGACCAAAGACGAAGTTATCAGGTCTGAAGATTTGACCGTAGGCACCAGATCTGAGACTGTCCATCGTACCAGGCTCCAGATCCATGAGCACCGCTCGTGGAACAAACCTTCCGCCGCTGGCCTCATTGTAATAAACGTTGATCCTCTCGAGTTGGAGTTCGGAGTCTCCGGTGTACTTTCCTGTTACATCGATACCGTGCTCGGCGCAAACAACCTCCCAGAACTTAGCTCCGATCTGGTTACCGCATTGTCCGCCCTGGATGTGAAGGATCTCACGCATTTTCGAGTGTGAGTGAAGAGTAGAGAGAGAAGATTAGGGTTACTGGAGCGGAAATAGTGTTTGGATATAGATCGAAACAGAAGGGATGTCTGCAGTCTCTCAGTACGACCTTTTATATAGGGAGAACCGTATGTACGTATTCAGATTTGTATACGTATAGATCTACGGAGACAGATAATAGTATACAAGATATTTTAAAAGGTTATACTAAAATCTTAATATAAATTTTGAAATGGTTGATGACCGATGTAATTATTTTCTTTTACGAGTAAGACATCTGAACTTAAACTATATTAGGTGATGATTCGACAAATTACTAGAATATTAAGGAGATATAATATTATTTTTATTTAATTTTTTGTATGTTTATTGTCGACATATGTTTCTAAATGATGCATAAACTTTTTTATAAGGATAATTATTGGGAAATTGAAACCACAATTTGAGTTCTAATTAACAAAACTAACCATTTGGTTCGGAATGTACCATTTCAAACCAGGATATCTGGCTCAAGCTCATTACTGTAGCCCTATGTTATATATGAGTCTCACATATAAAAATCGGAATACGCGTTCCAGATTCTGCAATTCCGAAATTCGTTTTACCCTCATTTTGAACTTATTTTTCAGCATGGATTCGTTAAACCAAATGAGTTCTACTCTTTAAGTTACTTGCATTTTAATTTTCAAACAATTATAGGTATTCCATAATGCATTCAACACTCCGGAATACGATGAACGAGTTCGGAAACCTACATGGAATTGTTTGAAAATCATGTAGACATTGCCAGTTTACACCAGATGCAAGTTCAAGTTATCCTGGAAATGTAATATAAAGATTGAATATTGTAATGACTTTTGAAACTTAAATATGTAAACGGAACGATAGGGTTATCTAAAATAATAATGTTTTTCATTAACATTTGTACAAAGTTCGTTACAAATCCTAATACATACTTACATAGGTTTCTATAAATTAGGAAATTGTAAATGATACATATTTTGTTCTCGGTTAATAAAATCTCATCTTAATTCTACCAACATCTGTTAGACGGTCCCGTTCTACACAAAGTTTATCTATCTATGCATTTGCGTGTTGAATTCACTTCTCATCTTCTTTGACTTTTTTCATAGCTTCAGCAGCCTATTTTTCTTTTTTCTTTTACTTGTTCCGTTAGATCATTTGGTGCATTGATTTAGTGTCCAACTTGTTTCAAAACCCCTTTCATTTGCTTCTCCAGCGGCCTTCGTAGCTTGGAAAATGTCATCGGACATTTTATCCGATGGTGGGAAATACAGGCCTTCCAGAAACGGGATAATATCTTAACAAACATAGCAATCTGTTGGATAAGGTATCTAAGTCCATAACAATATTTGAGATACATTTGACCCGACCCGGCATGGTCCATTTGGGTTGCACTTCACCCGAACGATTTGGATAACCTTTTGAGAATAATGTGTTTATGATTTGTTAATATATTATAAGTTATAATATATTAATATGAAATCATATTATTTAATTAGTATTGATCATATGTTAATTTAGAATTAATTTAGTGATAAAAAAGGTGACTAATTAAATATGGGCTCTTGTATTTTATATAGTGTGGGCTAATACTCCTTTAGAATGGGCTAGGCTTGCATGGGAGTCTATGGATGGTCCATGGAGCTTTTAACACATGGATCCTGAAAAGGAAGAGCCATGGGTATTAGGGTTTACATGGATGTAACCCTAATCCTCCACATTATATAAAGGAGTCCTTGGCACTTGATTTGTCACCAATTGTGTGTGTACAAGAGTGGTGGCCGATTTCAAGAGTGTGCATTATTCTCTCAAGAGTTTTCCAAAGTTTGTGGTGATTTGTGATTTCCATTTGAGGCAACCACACTATTGGTGCTAGGCTCTCAAACTCCAAGGAATCAACCACTACTAAAAGGTATGTCATTCTACTAGTACTTTTATGATTCAAGTTCCCTATGACATGCTAGTTAGGATGTAAACCTTGGAAATTCTTATTTGCGTGTATTTTAGAGAAAACATAGATGCAAGTTTTATAGGGTTGCATGTACACCATAGGAGTGTTAGAATGCTTAAAACTCAACAGTGGTATCAGAGCCTAATCTTGTTTTCTTGAATACTTGATGCAAAATGCTGAAAAAAGTCGATTTTCTGCCCACTGGACAGTAAACTCACCGAGTCCATGGGGGGACTCGACGAGTCCATGTACATCTTCATCCTACTCATCGAGTAGGTTCATGCACTCGACGAGTAGGAGGCCCATAGTGCAGTTTTTCAAGTTTTTGAGCTGGAATTGGACTAGAGTCATTACACTAAACTGCTTTGGACTTATAAAACCTATTTTTGATGTTGTAATGATTATGCTAATCCAATTTCAAAGGCTATTATCAAAATTTTAAGTCATGTGTGTGTTCATATGATTCTTAAAATTGTTAATATGGATGTTCATGAACTTATGAGTTTTGTTAGATCATAGGAATTATTTGCAAGTTGTTTGTTAGTTAATTCTTGATCTTGATGTGTTTTAATGGATTCCATAATTTATCCTCAAGCTATGGATTATCAAAAGTCTTTTCTTTTAAAGTCCATTAAAAACCATAGGTTACATTAGTTGAAGACTCTTTTTCATCATAAATAGTTTTATGGACTCCATAACTTGTCCTCAAGTTATGGATGTCCAAGAGTCTCTTCATTAAAAGTTTTTAAACCTTCATTAAAATCATAAGTTATGAAAATACAAAAGTTTTTGAATTGTTCAAAACTTGCCCTCAAGTTTTGAAATTTGTAAAGTCTCACACACACTTTAGTTCCAACCCTTAGAGTTTTAAAAGTTAAAATCCAACCCTTATACTTTATAGTATTACATGTTAATAATAATAATAATATATAATTGTAACGCCCGCGTTTCTAGGCTAGGTATTTACGGAATCCCTTAGTTACGCTGCGCCCCGACCCGAGTCCCCACGTCCGTTTTTCACCGCCCGAAACCCATGATGTAATAGTCTAGGTTAACCTTTGTAACCCGTTTTGAAATAATAAGAGCGTATTATTTGTGTATTATGTGTTTCATGCTTAATTGCTTAATTATGTGATTTGATTAATTAAGAATAAAATAAACGTTAAAATTTAAGTGTAAAATAAACTTAATATATTTGCATAAAGTTGTAGTGGCCGAAACGAGGTTTCCGTATATATATATATATATATATATATATATATATATATATATATATATATATATATATATATATATATATATATATATATATATATATATATATAGAACGCCCAAATCTGACTTCGTATAAGGAGTTATGATTTTATGAAGTTTCGACTTAGCGGTATGCAGCCCGAAATACTCGATTTGAGATCGAACGGTTTTTAGCCGAAGCAATCTAAACGAGAATCGAAGATCTCGTTGTTAGTAGCGAAACGATGAAAAGTTAGGCGAGAACGGACGTCGGACGAAGAAGTTATGAATTTATAACGAAGTTTTCCTGTCCGGACCTACTAAAAATAAATAATAAAAAATAAAGTCAAAATTAGATGACGGAGTCTAAACGAAAGTTGTAGAGCGTAGTCTCACCTACGCATGGATATAAAGAACGTCAAAAACGGAGTTCATATGAAGAAAATATGAATTTTCAAAATTTATTAAATAATTAATATTTAAATTTATTTATTTATTCCGATATTATCCGAAAATGAGTCATCGGACTCATCCGAAGTACGCCCAGCGTACTGGCGTACGCCCAGTGTACCGCGAAGCATGACGCACCTCGCACTCGAGTTCTTCGGATGATGCATGCAGTGACGATTTCGGAGGCTTACGCCCCGCGTAAGGCTGTACGTCCAGCGTACGGCAAGGCCTCAACCTCCTATAAATAGGATGCGAGGGTTCCGGACATATTTGCTCAATTCTTCTCTTTTTTGTGCCGAAGCTCTGCGTGTGAACCCCCGAAGCCATCTTGACACCCCGGATCTCATATCCAAGTTAAGAAGGAAGTTTTACGCTCCCGAGATCCCGAGAAGTATGATTCCCGAGCCGAAGCTCTGCCCGCGAGGAGTTCGATTTTTGTGGAGATCTTCCAGATCTGCCGAAGAATACTACTTCTATAAGCCGTAGTGTTGTCCGATCATCTTCTGATCAAGTGAGTGTGTGGTTACTTTCTTCTAACGCATAATTATGAAGTATTTTATACGAAATACGTGTTATGTGTATAGTTTGTGTTATATGTGTGAATGTATATTCACTTTCTTCTATCTCATAGATATGATTTATTCTCTATGAAATACGTGTTATGTGTATGTGTCTCATCTGTGGTTTTGGAATATGTATTGAATGAGAATGCTATGCAGGTTTTAAACTATGTATAAAAAATATATTTTTATCTACTAATATGTCGGGTAGAACATGGGTAGATAGTTGACGTGTGATAAACAGATGAGAGGCCTCGATGTTGTTTTTGATTCAGTTATCTAACGGAGTTTAGATGACGACCACAGACTTTTCTAGACAGTCCTGTGGAACGCTAGCAGGGTCGCCACATGTAGTGTCAAGTATCACAACACATGCATTATAGTAATCAAAGAACAACAAAACATTGCATTAATAGTAATAGTTTTACAAGGTTACATTACAACAATTTAAAGTAATACAAGTAATAGAATAAATACAGCGTGGTACTAAGCTATCTTCATCAACAGCTCCGGGGATGTACCTGTCTAATGCTAACCTGAGAATACAAGTTATTTGAAAAGCAAGTATCAACATTTTTTACAATGCTGGTGAGTTCATAAGTATTTAGTGTCATTTAGTCAAATAACTTTATAAAGCAGTAGTTTAAGTGATTTCAGTGTATTAGTGTTCTTTCCAGAAAATCCTATATTTTCTTTAATAAAAGCAGCCATCTACCAAGACTGGTCAGTGTAATGTGGTAAGAAGAAGTTTCCCTTAATTGTTAATAATATCAAAATACTGAATTTGATTATTAAAGAAAACAGAGGCATCAGGGAATAACATATGCCTCAGCAGTGAGGACTGCTGACTAAGGCAAAAGAGTCATAGATTCCAGGAAAGTATCGAACTAACGACACGCCTGGTTCAGTCTAACAAATGGAGAAACAAACCCCCGAAGGTATCAAATGAAAGGTACAACTGGTAAGGTCTAAAACGGTGAACGCAGACCGAAGACGATACCAAATGGAAGGT